AAGTCATTAAAGATGTTTGCTGTACTCTATTTCCTCTCTAGAAAGAGAACAGTTCAAAGAAATAATTAAATATCCAAAACTATCATGACATTCATGCCAACGATTGTATGAGTGCACATAAACCTCTGACCACAACCGTATAAATTACAGGCCATGGCACTGTTACCTTCTAAAACAATCACAATACCTTGAAATAACACAAAAATATTATTAACAGTTCACTATAACTGTGATTAGCAGTCATGGACCATTTACACTCCAGATATCGTGGTGCATGGGCCTTCCTTCCTTTGAACACAGGGTGATGGCTAAAGATACTTTAATTTTTTACAAACTGCTCTGTCTTACTATTTTCATATACGGAATGTGTTAATAGTAGATGTCATTACATATCTATAAGCCAAGTTTTTACAAATTGTAACTGATGATACGAGTTATGTTTCATTAACTATCAGCCGCAAAAGCTAACTTCCCTAACTTGGTTTGAAAAAGCACCACATCTTATCTCACATGGCAATTTCCCATCCAATAATTACCAAAAATCCAAATTCTCTATCCTTGTATTTATGCATTTAAATTGTCTGCCTAACCACATATCACATGATGACCCTGAATACTGAACCCCAGCTTGTGGGCTCTGAGAGAGTAAAAAATATTAATCAACATAATTCATACCGTTACACATCACCAGGCCTAAAGCTGAAATAAAGTCTTACACAAATCTAAATCTTAATTTAATGGACTAACCATTGTAATCTGCCAGCCTCCCCAATGTCCTAATTGTACAGCTGTAGCCTAATACTGATAAGCGTAATAGCTCATAGTTCATTCCTCAGCTGGCAGTAGACTTCCCCATGTCTGTCAGGGTCTCATGAGAAAATGTGAAATAGTCATGAAAAAAACAATAGTTTTTCATGTAAAAGGACTAATTCGTAAGTAATGTGGAAAATGTATTTAATGTAATAAGCATGTATTTTTTCCAGGGAAAGTGGGCAGGAACCAACATGCTCATCAAGAAAAGAGCTTGAAAACCGATGTATTTTAACCCAAACCAGAATTACTCCAAACCTAACCCAATAACCCTTAAATGCCAAGACCTAAACAAGTAGCTGTTAATGCTTAAAATTAACCAGTTGACATTTTTAATTAACAATTATACTGTCAGTATGACTCAAATTTGGACGCTGAAATGATTTGCTCCATTACTTCCAAATGCAGACTTCCAATTGCTGATGTTAGGAATCCAGTTGATGCAAAGACATCCTAGATATGTTGGACTTGTGTATAACACCATCAGCTGGTTGGGCTTCATTTTGTAGCCCATCTATCTAGATTCCTCTCTACCAGCCAAAGCAATTCAATGACAACACACAAACAACGTCCTTAATGTCGTCCCAGTACTGAAATCGTTTATTTTTTCTCTGACAATAAACAAAGAATATCAGTAATAAACAACTCTCAGTTTGTACTGATAAGATGACACAAGAACATCACTGTTATTATTTGGATTCTGGAAATATAAAGACATTTAGGAGGAGAGTTACTGTGATAGTGAGTGACAACAAGTGCTAATAAATGGCAAAATACACTCATCAGTGCAAGGTACAAATACAGGACATCGGAGTAAATGCTAGAAAAATACAACCCTTGTGAGAGTGACGCTCTTCGTGATGTGAGCTGTTTTAAAAACACAGACGCCATGCTTCATCTACCCGTATCAGTGCAGCCAATCTGTTCCCTGATCCTCGTCTCACGCTACATATTTATTACACATATAAATGTTTTGCTACTGCTGCATTTTTACAAATATTACCATCAACAAAGAAGAGGTAAATACAGTTAATACTGATGATAATGTGCGGTGCTTTGTAGCTATACATCATGTGAAAAGAATATGGCTATCATCACCTTGATGAGTCTGATATGTAGATTCAGGTGCATTCATGTTCTGTATATGCAATCAGTTTCTTACTGATAGTGTGAAAAGATGCATCTCGGCAAATATCTACACATGATAAATAACGATAAAAGTTCAGGGGGACGGGTGGGTTAAAATCGTCAAATGTGCCGGGATGCATTCGGAACACCAAAAACAGCAGATTAAAGGACACGGTGTACTTCTTAAAGACAGAGACTCAGATATCTTACAGATAAATGTGCAGAAAAGAAGTGGCAATCGGGAAAGATCAAGACACGAAAGAGGATTCACGTGTATGTGACTTTAGAGTTCTTCTACTTTCTGAAAAGAAAGTGGTAGAACTGTTAGCTTTTGATAAGTTGCGAAAAGTTTGACTAAAAAACTTGCCGTGTAATTGAAAACTGTCACACTGTTGATTTCCACAAGGGATGCTCTCGAGTTAGTAAAAATAAGGGGGGGTCTCTGTACTTTTGCTTGCCTTGAAAATTTTAGAAAAGTGCAACCCTTGAATTGCTGCCAGATATCTGAGTCACTTTATTAAAAAAATAACACCAAACAGTGAGCTAGTCATATTTGTAACACAAAAGAGGACACAGTGTACTTCTTAAAGAGATAAAACGTGCAAACTGTGACGCGGAAAATATTAAGTCCAGGAAAGAGAGGATTCACGTGTACGTGATTCTGGCTGAAGCGCATCTTAACTGTGGCAACGTTCTACATTCCCAAACTCAGTGGTGGAACTCTTGGCTTTGATTTGCTTAAGCTAAGAAGCTGTTCTACTATATTTCTTGTAAAAACTAGAGAGGGTCTCTTGAATTAGTCCAGAAATAAAGATGTTCTGCTGGAGCCTAAAAATGTAAATGTCCTTCACCATTAGCTTCATAGAGCTTCCCCTGTTCTGGACTACTTTACAAGTGCCCCATAAAACAGGATGTCCAAAGAGCTGAAGTTCTCAATATATTTACAAGTTCTTTAGTTTACCTTAAATATGAGCAAAGCAATGGAAGAGTTCAGTCCAGCAAAAAAGACGTAACTGGTCTTTTGTTGCTGTGACAGAAACGTGTACATGTGAATCCTCCCCTGTTGGATCTCTTCACATGCTTTAATGAAAGCTGTACGTATTAAAGTTTAATCCACAGCTTCAACCAGAGACAATAAATTTCCCTGAGCTAGCATGCTGACAACTGAGTGCGTTACCACTCTAAGATTACATGCAAAACTCATTGCTTTGTCCTGATGTCATAGCTGTGGAAACGCACAAAAAGCAGCTCACATGTGAGGAGTTTGAATTCAAAATGAAACGTGCAACATTTACCTACAAAACAGTGTCGGAGTATGTGAAATAATATTTAAGCTTTTTTTTTTTTAACTTCTTGTAATAAAACAGGCCATATGAAGCATCACTGGGATCAGAGTAAATTATAGAGGCTGAGTGCATGCAAGTGGATATTAACACAGTGACAATAAAAAGTAGTTAGCGCACACTTTAGAGAATCACATTACTCAGTCAGGTAAATGGCAATCAGTAGGTAGTGCTGTACATAGGATAACACTGTAATCTCGAGTTTTGGTGGGCCCATGGGAAAATATATTACGTATGTATCCTAGCTTAGATCGTCATTTTGTCTGGAGCAGACTTAAATCTTAAACCTTTAATAAAATGTTCACACATGGCTGAGAAATGTAAATAAATGTGGCTACATGACCTTTAAGGAGAGACAGCCAGTGCCATTATGGAGGTCTGCAGGTGAAACGCTTATGTTTGTTTGTCACAGCCTACATGACTCACCCGGTATTCAATCCTCTTAAGTTTTGCTGAAGCTCAACAGTGACGGTTAGCATGGCTCCCTCGAGCTACAGCGTCCAAATCCAGAAATGTTGTGGAGAAAAGCTGAATTTAACAGTACAGACAGATTTGTTGCACATCTGCTTTGAATCCATGTAGAGCCTATGGCATAGTCTATGAGCGGCGTTTCTCTCCAAATTTCTCATCTGGTCAATTTTAAAAATGGGAACAGAAGAAACAGAAACTGGAAATGCATAGGAGGAAACAACAGTATGGAAAATGCTAATCACAGTCTCTGTGGGCTGCATTGATGCTACATGCAGTTAGACTTCCAAAATTATCAAAATTGGTAGATCCCTGTTGTGAATGAATGCTGTATGTAGACTAAAATAACGGAAATGGTTTTGTCAGGTCCATTTTAAAGTGGACATGAAACACTACATGTATAAAGGCTAATTTATACCACCAGCCCTGCTCTCAAAAACTGATATAGATGTAAAACTGCCTGTGAAGCTGAATTTAAGAAATAAAAGCTTAAAGTAAAAGTTTTAAAAACGTGTTTAGTGCCACTGGGAACATTATGCCACTTGGTTGGTTGGTTGTGGTCAACAGACTTACATTAGTTTATGTTAGCTAACCAGTACAGAACCAATAAATGTGGAAAAAATAAGGACACGAACAATAAAAATCAATCTAAGGGGGTCACTTTTGTGCTACCCATGGGTGCAACAATGAGCTTTATGTTAAAACCAAGTATATACTGTCCACTTTCACTTTCTATTTCTTACGTAGCTGATTGGCAAGCTGCACTGACACAGAAAAACCTACCCGTTAGCTGTAATGTTCAGGTTTGTAAAGCACTTTAGAAATGAGGACAGTGTGGAGGAGTGCCTGTTTGAGTCAGGTGGTTCACTGGACCAACAAGCTGGAGTCAGAAACTCTGATTTTTCCATGTCTGACTGAGTGTACCAAGCGGTCTGGTCTGCTGGTCTCAAAAAAGTGCTTTACAAACCCAAAAATTACAGCTAACAGGTGGATTTTCCTGTGTTAATGCAGACAGTCAAACAAAAAATAATCACTTATTGCTTAAGAAATAGAGAGTGAAAGCAGACAGTATATCCATCTATTTTCTTCCGCTTGTCCTTATCAGGGTCGCTGTTAGCAGCAACTAGCCAAGCTGGTGACATAATGTTCCGTACTAACAGAAGATGGCATAAACATGTTTTTAAAACTTTAACTCTAAGCACTTAATTCTTAAATCAAGCTTCACAGACAGTTTTACATCTATGTCAGTTTTTGAGAGCAGGGCTCCATGTGTAAATTTGCCTTTATATGTGCAGCGTTTCATGACCACTTTAAATAAGCTTAACAAGTAAGCTTTAATATGTGAAAAACAGCTGCTTGTTACTAACATGAGCTCTACTTTATCAATGTAACTTTCAGCTTGGAAACATGAAACCAACGTGGAAGTACGTTAAACCTGCATTCTTTCTCGTAGCCAGCAGGGGGCGACTCCTCAGACTTGCGTGTATGAAAGACAGTGGGAAGAACCCCTTTAATTTAGTTCTGACTCATGTTAACTCCTCTCCATTGATTTATGACTTTAGTAGGTGCTTTTCTGATGAGTTTATGGGTTCCGTCTATTTTTAATTATTTTTATTTTTCAAATGTATGATAGGTTTTTAAGATTTGAGAATGTTAAGATGGTGACAATGAATTTGCTGCACTTGAAGTTTCAAATACAGGATTTTGGTAACCAGTGGGTGACTAATCATAGCTATGTCCATTGTGTTTTATAGTCCGTGATCACACCCACAATTAGAATATTTTGAGATTATAGGTAGCTCTTTTAATGCTACAGTAGCTTTTATGCTAAACATGCTAAATGTACATTTTAAACTTTTTTTCAAGAAAAAAAAACCTGTTTTTCTGTGAAGAAAAGTCTGTTGCAGATAAATACAATCAGCTGCTCACAGCTGATGCCAAACAAGATGCAGACCTCCAAAATGGCTGCCAGACAGTTCATTGCTACACCTGAAAGGCTTCTCGGTATCTTAACGCTACACTGAGCAGAGGTGGAAGCCTAACAATGCCAAGCTGGCTTTTTGTCCCACTTCTGAGCATTTCATCCGGACACAGAATCCAAACTGTGGGATTTGGAGGTCCTCCATGTGTGGCTCGGCGATAAGTCCACCCAGTCGCATGATTTCTCTCTTCAAGTTGACTCATCCAGCTTCAGAAACTCTAAAAAGAGAAGGGGTGGAGCAGAGTGAGATAGTGGATCTCTGAACCATACAAACAATATCCAAAATGAGACTAGTTTAAAGGAGAAGCCCAAACTGTGATTAATAATAATAATATAATGGAATATTTAAGAAATGCCTTTAAAGATGATTAATCAGCTCACAGGCTTTCTTTGGGGAAAAATTATAGAGAGCAGGGTCTGCCAAAATCAAAAACTAATAAATAAATAATTGTAAAAAATGATAAACTGTTACCAAAATAATAGCATCAATAAATATCTGCATTTATTGTTACACATTTGGCATTTGAATTTACATTTGAATGGAAAAATAAAAAAAGAGTTATTAATAAAACTTTATTGATCAACCAATAAATTGACTCAATAAGAGCCTCTTCTTTTGCACATTGATACAGAAATGCATTAAAATGTAAAACTGTAAAAAGAGGGTAGAGAAATAAATAAGTTTACAAATATATAAGCAATACCTGCAAAAAAAGAAAGAAAAAAGAACGATACGCAAAAAAAAGTAAACAAAAGTACGAATTTACAGCAGGGAAAATGACTTAACGGTTTACTGTCATGCGCTTTAATTTATTTTTTATTATTTATTGATCTATTTATTATTAATGAAAGGATAAAAAAGTTAAACAATTTTAAATACTATTTTGTTTTGCATAGTATTTCTGGAGCCCACAGTGTGGACTGTGAAAAGCAAAAACAGTCCTTTGAAAGTTTGTATTTCTAGCCTCCTGCTGAGCTCACACTTTTTACTTAACAAGGATCCTTTTATCTCTAAAAAGTATGAAAATTCTTCCTCAAAGCCAGCAGACTCGTTGGAGTAAGAGGACTGCCATTAAACTGCCCCACAGAGATCCACTGTAATTTCAGCTTTTTTCGCAGACACTACCTCTTTATCAGTCTCTTTCCTGTGATTTTAAGTGATCTCACACTCTGAGGTACATAAAGCAACTTTTATGGATATTCACGGTTTTATAGAAGTTGAGGTTGTGACTTTTTATAAGCATTTTTTTGAGAGCTGGGCTGAGCCATGTCCACCAGCACAGCAACTTCATCTGCAACTAAACTGAAGCTTTGTACTTGCTATTTTAATTCTGAGCCACAATTTCATATATTTGTGGACAGGCTATAATTTGTGTTTGCTTGTGTAGCTCAGTGTGCTTTTTTCTATAAAGAGTGGGGTTTGGTTTATTTTGTATACGGTAAAGGGCATAAAAGTACATGGTAGATCTTTTGCATTGACTTTACTTGCTGGTTATAAAGTGGCTGAGGAGTGAACATTGCCTTACGGTTCCACTTTATGTTCCTCAATTGCAGCTGCATACAGAGAATTAATTTCACACAAAAAAAAAATGTCAGCAGGTCTTGTCACTGATTCCTAAGCACCTTAAATTATGGTAACATAAGATGTATCTGGGATAAAATGTGGTTTAAATTGAAATAGGACAACTGTGATCTGATCCCATTGGGCAAAGATAAAACAGTAACATCCGTCACTGCATGTTGATGAGTGTTCCTGACGTGTTCCACACATAGTCTGAAACAAAACTGACAACTAGTCTGATTCAAGGAATATAAAGGTGGGTGAAAAATCAATAGGAAAAACCTGAATCCCTGACCCTTACAATGTGATGCCATCATAGTTCAGGTCCACTTGTTAAGGCAGTCACATGTGCCAAATAAATCTACTGAACTGGAATGTTTCATTGCCCAGCAATACCTGTGACATGATAGCAAAGCTATTTTTTGTCTGCTATCATGATAACAGCTGGAGGACATGTGCCTTTTCTGCCATAACTCAGCTAAATTTCAACTTTTTTGTTGGCTTTCCAAACAAGTTATTTTACCTCCACCTGCTTTCTTTGGAATTATTGACATATCATGAAAGCCTTCACTGCTTTTCTCACAGTCACTGGATAAAAGTGACACTCCTGCAGTGTTAACTTATGAATTTTTGAACCAACACCACAATGTGGGTCATTGTCTCAGTTTGTGTGACGAAGGCGACAAGGGCCAAACACACTATGGGGCCTTACATAAAGTGGTGCACCTGGTCATCAGATCCCCCATCAAAATGGCACACGGGCTTGTTGAATGATTTGATGAGGATGAAAAAGATGTGAATAGCATTTATGGCCTTCATAGTCACTAGATCCTAACACAGCCAAACACTACTGAGGAATTTTACTGGCAACACATGAGGAAACATCTTTTAAAAGAATGGTCTTAATCCCTCCAGCAGACTTCCAGATACTTGCAGAATAATTACTAAAGAGGACTGAGAAACTGTTCTGGACTTGTTTTGGTTTTTCCTGTTATTTTTCAACCTTTTCTCTGTAATCGCTGCATAAAGATATTGGAAATGGGCTGCTGAGGAGTGTGAAACACTTCGATGAGTGTGTTTCTATAAATAAAAAGGTATTCATGAATCTTTATGTGCATCTTGCTGTGATTGCTCATAACCTGTGGCTATTTTTTAACCCACAGGCACGTCTCACGACCTACTACTACACACACAACCGTTGTAAATGCCAGCGTTAATGTAGTGTAGGAAGATGCAAATGATGTTTGGCAAACTTGTGTTAGTCATGTGTTCAGTTGCTACCATTAAGCGTGCTTTCTGCTCAGTGGGGATGAAAATGGGCTTGAAAGCAAAGTGTAGTTTGAAAGAAAAAGTTATTAGTCTTTTTTTTGTGCAGTGTGAAAAAGTGAAATTACTGAACCTTGGTCTGTCTTTATAACTGCCAGCTCCAGTGACAGGTTTTAAAGGCAGCATTTGAACGTGTCTGACGAGTCTCCCGAAAGAAGAGTTCACATTTATTTTGGTGGATAAAAACTGAAAAAGTATGAAACTTTAATGAAACTTGCCAGTAAAACTTTTCAGTGGGTTAAAATCAACTTAATAGTATGTAATTTTCAGTACTTAGAACAAACTCTGACACTGTTTTTAGTCCTTAAAAGTCCTTGTGACCCCGGCAGTTGGAGGGTTCATAATTTTGCATTTTCCAAGGCTACAGATCAAAGTTCATTACACATAAAAGCCATGTGTTTTAATGGTTCAGTGCATGTTTTATAGATGAATTTAGTTGGTTCACTGGATTTCGGTGGTGGTAATCTGAAAATAATAATAAGCTGTGTATCTCACTACATGTAAAATATGCATACAGTTAAAAATTCATATATTTTTAGACACTGACTTAAATGTGTTATTCTAGCTGTGTGCAAAAACATATTAAAGCTTCAGTTATATGAATTTCAGCCATGAGCTTTAAGTGCAGACTGTCTAAACTGCACATACTGTCTGTCACGGTATTTGTGTTTCAACTTATGGAATTATATTCTTTGATTACTGAGGTTCATGTTTTTGGGTTTCTTTAGTTTTCAGGGATCGTAGTCCTCTCTCCCTTAGTGTTTATCTCAGCCTGTGGTTAGTCTTTGTTCCCATGTTTCCCTGTGTCCCAAGTCTAATGCTTTTGTATTCCCTCTGTTCCAGAGGCTGTCTGTTTCCATGTCAAGTCTGCGTCTATGTGATGTCATGCTTCCTGTTTTATTTTGATAGTCCTTGCCCAATGTCACTTTCTTTGTCTCGCGATTTCTGGTCCTCTTGTCGTCTTGCCTGTGCATTTAAGCCCTGTGTTTTCCTTTGCCCTTTGTTGCATTGCATCCTCACTATGCTGTGTTTTTCCCTCTGTGTTCTTACACAGCAAATTCAAAAGTGTTAAAAGTCTTCTTGCAAAAGTAGAGTTAATTTTAC